CTGAAGGCCCAACACTTCACCTCCAGGGCCCCGTGCCCAATGCTGTTCAGGGCCAGCTAGCTGTACCTGGGGTGATGCTACAGCATATGAGGATAGTAGGCGAAAATTGGCCCCCCGGAGATGAGGGTTCTGTAGGGCACCAGAGAGGTCAAGTGAGCGAGGTTCTGGGGTCCTAGGGGCACCAAGCTGTGTCATGACATTACCATCAGGAAGACAATACTTTGCTTGACGAAGGTTTGGGTTTTTTGATAAAGCACTGGACAGGTCAAATGTTCTGGGTGCAGAAGTGGGCTGAGGGCGTGTCATCAGAGTACCATCTGGCAAACGGTAGGTGGCAGATCTGAGGTTCTGGTTGCGGAGAGCATTTGAAAGGTCAACAGAACGTGGCTCAGAGGTATCAGCAGAACCAGGCTGTTTCAGAAGTGATGTGCTGGGGAGTCTGTAGGAGGCACCTCGGAGGTTAGTGTTTAGCAAGGCACCAGAAAGGAGTGGACCAGATGAGGCAGAGGGGGAAGCTTGAGGTTGGTTCAGTGAAAACAGCGGTGATCCTTGTGGAAGCTGGAACTTTGCCTTACGCAGGTTAGCATTCATCAGGGCGCTGGATAGCCCAGGTGATGATACTGCATTCTCAGCATTCTGGGTCTCCTTTCCTGAATGTGTTAAAATAGAACCATCTGGTAATCGATAAGACGCCTTACGAACATTGTTACTGAGAAGAGCAGAGGAGAGCATAGGAGAGGAAACAGTGATAGGCTCGGGTGCTAGCTCATTTCTTGTAACCAAAGTTCCATCTGGCAACCTGTATGTGGCTTTACGTACACTGGGGTTCAAAAGAGCAGAGGAAAGCATAGGTGTAGAAGAGGAGGGTGCAGGTCTGGGCTCTGTACTGCTTACAAGAGTGCCATCAGGCAAAGAATATGATGATTGACCTAGGGAAGGTTCAGAACATTCACTTCTGGTGACCAATGAGTCACTGGGTAGATGATAAGTGGCTTGACGCAGGTTTGGGTTCTGCAGGGCATTGGAGAGCATCAAGGGTGGCAAGCGCCCACTTGTACTAAGACCACCTCCACAATCAGTGGTACCTGGAGCCTCAATGAGACCCCGAGGCACTGTCATTGTGCCACCTGGAAGCCTAAACATGGACCCCTGGATTTGGGAGGTCCTGAGTCCACCAGAGAAAAGTGGGGAGGTACCTCTGATAGTTCCTTGTTGAGGTGTGGAGGGAGGAGGAACAGGAGAGGCAAGAGACATAGGGGAAAGGTGTTGCTGAAGGGGTGAGGCAAAGGAAGCATTATGTAAATGAGAGGAAGGCATAGTGCAAGACAAATGTGGGTAGGAAGGTATAGAGGGGGCAGGAGGGGCTTCAGCTTGAGGGGGTGAGAAGACAGTTGTGTAGAGGTTGGCATTGCGTTGTAGAGGAGATGAGTAGGAGGCACTGCGCAGGTGGGAGTTCTGCATCAGTGCATTAGACAGATTAAGAGTGGCATATGGGCTCACCTGTACTTCTGCTGATATCTCCCCCTGTCCACCAGGTATGGGGGAAGTGCTTCTTTGTAAGGGTGATGTGTTGCTGGCATTCGGCAGGTTCTGGAGTGTGTGTCCTAGATAAGGTAAGGAGGGTGTGGCTTGAGGGACGTTTTGCATGTAGACTTCATGCTGTGTTTGGGGGGAGGCTGGTCTCTGTAAGGGAGAAGAGTAAGCAGTGGGGGAGTAAGGGATAGAGGAAGGAAGGGGAGAGGGAGAAAAAGGGGCACCTACAGCTTGAGGTATGTTTGGTAAAACATTGGTAAGCACGGGGGATGGGCCTGGTTCCATGACTGTGTGGTCATACTGGATGAGGCTTTGAGTACGAAGATCAGCATGAGGTCCTGGAGGTTGAAATGATGTTGGCTCTAGAGTGTGAGGACTAACAGCCCTGTGGGACAAGGGGGCAGGGGGATGAGATAGATGGTGCATGGGAGAGGCAGAACGGGAGGGCAGAGGAGATGGTCGCTGCAGTGGTTGTGGAGACAGAGGTCTACTCTGCAACCTATGCACTGATGGCTGGGGAGAAATAGGGGCACTCTGTTTCAGAGAAGCCTGGGGAGAAGCTGGAGGCACTGGAGGAGGTGCTCTGAATGAATGCCTAGATTGAGGAGAGGGCTGGTGTCTGGGTATACGGACTAGTGGCTGCCCCCTACCCACAGGTCTGTGGAAGCCTCCTTGGGAAATACCTATTCGCGATGACTCCCTTAACCCCGTGGTCTGAGAGCCTGTCCTGGCTAACATCGGTGTTCCAGCTACACCGCCTATTTGTCCTGAGGAAGAAACTGGGCCAGTATGGACAGGGGACTGGAATGGAGCTACCGGCTGAGTGACAGGTGGTCCATGCCTACTGCGTCTCTGTAAGTTAGCAGGGGACGGTTTCACAGCCCTCATGGGCACGTGACTTTGACCTCCTGCACCTCCTCTCATCCTAGTAGAGGGCCTGGTGGGAAGAGGGCAACTGATGATATGTGATGGTGAAGGAGAAGGAGGACGATGAGGTGAGGTGGAGCGAAAGGTTTGGGGGGGAGACAGAGGTCTTTCAGGTATAGGGGGGCTCCATCTTTGTGGGGATGGTATGGGAGGAGAGGAGGGATGTCTCATCATGGATGCTTGTTTTCTACCTTGAAATAAAGTCAGTCTTTTAGATGGCAGGTGCACCGCATCAGGAGGGGGTTGCTGTCTGAAAGAGAGTCTTGGGGAAGGTGGTGGGCTAGCTCGCCTCCTCAGTGATCCCCGGGGTGAAATTAGGGGGCTAGAAAGTGGAGACTGGGGTCGGACAGTTGATGGAGCCCTGGGCAAACTAGGTCCCTCCCTTCCTCTTGTTTGGGATGGCTGAGCTCTAACTGAGATCCCTCTCCTTTGGTGTGGTGGAGAAGCAGGTAGGCTGGGTGGTCTTTGCCTTTCAAGTGGAGAGGCCAACTTTTGGCCTGCCATTGAGGCCCGTGGAATGAGCCGTCTCCTACGTGATGAGCGAGGGGAGAGGAGGGGGTCTGAGTGGATATCTCTGTTAAAGTCCATGTGATGCTGTGAGAGGCGAAGTGAAGAAGGTGCCACTGGCTTGACTGATCTTGACCTTAGTGACAGCTGTGGAGATGGAAGGGGACTCATTTGTCGCACTGGCCTAGGTGAGGCCACAGGTGAATGCAGCAGTGAATGCATCATTGGTTGCATTGGTGGAACCATTGGTGACATTTGCCCCGTCTGAAACATATATGGGTCTTGAGGGAGGGATGGCTGATACACTGGAGCGGCCAATTGTGGTGGTAGGGAAGATATAGGCAAGTGACTGGGAGAAACAGAGACGGGAGGGTGAGTTGGTTGAGGGAGAGGGAAGTGCTCCTGTTGAATATTCATAGCTCTCGGTGTGGGAATTTGTCTAGGAAAAAGGGGGGTTTGTTGTTGGCTCAAAACAAGGGGGTACTGGGGCTGTGCAGGAAAGTATGTGGAAGGGGGCTGCTCATATTGTATTTCTGACATCATTTGCAGATTGCTGAGGGCAGGAGCTGTGAAGGAAGGGGGAATCGCTGGGGATGAGGGATGAGAATTAAAGGGAAGAGGTGCCAGGGTTTCCACCTCTAGTCTATCTTTTCCATATATCCTAACCTGGGGCCTGGGGACCCTGAACTGCTCTGCTGAAAATGGCCCAGGCAGAGGGTTAAACAGCTGCTCCTGTCCATATAGCTGTCCTGTCTCAACTGGAGCCAGCCCAGCATCCATATAGAAAGGTTCCTGATAGGGATTAGTAATAGCAACAGGGTCTGTATATTCCAGTATTGGTTCATTATGGAAGCCTGAAGCAACATCATAACCACCACTCATCATGCCATATGGATCTGAAATGCCATAGTTATTATAACCTAAATTGTGGTCAAAGTAATCTCCATACAGCTCGGGGTCATATGGGTCATAGTAACCATCCACAGCATCACCATAGTAACTGTATGGCTCCATTGCATATAGCACTCCATCTTCACCATAAAAATAATCCATCCCTTCATCATCATAGTAATCTTCATACTCATCATCATAATAGCCATAAGGGTAACTGTAGTAATCATCATCACAGTAAAACTCATCATCACAATAAAAGTTGCCTTCATCATCATAGTAACCATATTCATCTTCCCACTCCTCCTCATCATCATAGTAATCATTTTCCTCTCCATAAGGGTCATAGGTCATGGGTCGTCTCAGAAAACCTCTAGGTCTCCACCTGTCGTGGTAATCTTCCTCATATCCATACTCATCATCATCATCATCATCATCATACTCATAGGCATCATTGTAATAATGTGCCTGTCTCCCTCTAGTGTCCCTCTTAGCAAATGACAGGCGCTTTTGTCCCCGTCCTCCTGCTCGTCCCCTCAGTCGGCCTTGCCCTTTAGAGGTCAGGGATCTCCCAGTCAGCCAGTTAGTTGCAGCAGCTATCCTTCCTAACATCCAGCTTTTAGTCTTAAACATTGGTCTCGCTTTCTTTTTCCCAAACATGCCTTTGAACTTCCCTCCCAGTCCTTTTGCCTCAGTTGCCATTTTACCCTTTCCCTGCAAACTGGATAGATTTATTGTCTTTTTAGGTGATGTTTCTTTATCAGGTTCATTTTTTTTATTAAATAAGCCGAAGCCAGACAGACCTGGCTTTTTGTCAGCACTAAGTGATTTAGCCCCAAACCCAGCAAAAAGCTTGCTTGCGCCTAGAAGTGGTTTACCATCAGCAGGGGGCTTCTTTTTCTTGGAGAATCGTAGGAAGAGACGAGATGTGCTTTTAAGGTTTCTCTTTGGTTTTGCTTTCTCTGGCTGCTGTTGTTTAGAGGGCAAGCTAAAAGGAGAGGCCTTCCCTGTGAGGCCCGTTAGGGCTTTGGAAGCTCCTTTGAGCTGAGACTTGGCATTTGCTGTCCTCTGAGCTTTTGCTGCATCTATGTTTTTCTTCTGTCCTTCTGCAACCAAGCCCATCATGGCCTTGGAAGCTCCTTTGATGTGGACATCACTCATCTTTTTCAGGTTTACTGCAGCCATCCCTCTCTTCATCTGTGCCTTCCCCTTCTCTTCCTCCTCCTCCTCATCAGATGGAGGTGACTGTTTAGAAGGGGGCTTTAAACTCTTCACAGCCATGGCCTTGGATGCATCTTTCAGAGCTGCTTTCCCTTTCCCTTTATCCTGATGTGCTGACTTCTTGGTTACTACTTCTTCATCGCTGTCCTCATCCTCTTTGGTCTTTAGCCCCGTTTCTTCTTCCTCTGACTCCTCTTCTGACTCACTGACATGTTTCTTCCCCTTTCCCTTCTTCCCATCATCCTTCCCTTTCCCCTTAGCTGGTGGCTCCTCTGCTTTCTTCCCCCCTTTCTTGTCATCCTTCCTTTCCTTCTTTGGCTCCTCAGACTTGCCTTTCTTGGCAGCTGATTTTGAATCACCTTTTTTAGGTGGCATGATGTCTCCCAAATCAAAACATTCTCAAAAAGATGAGGAAGGACAAGTTCCCAAAATGTGCTAAAGCAACTTGGTTTCAATGTCAATACTGATATGTACTTTTATGAAGAATACAAACAGTAGCATCATCCTCGTATTCCCAATTTTCTTCACCTTTTCTCTTCTCTATCCTCCATCTGATTTGTCCATGTGACACCCTCTGTCCCAAATCAGTTGTTCTGGGACAAACACAATTCACAGTCCTTAAAAACACAATCTAGTAATGGAGCCGGAATCTCAGCCATCAGTGCTCGCTTGGATTACAGTGCGTCTTCAGTCCTCAACAAAAAAACTGTTGTCTCTATGTGTTTGTATAAAACCCTGCCTGGGAGTGTTTAAAAAACGTATGGTTATAGAATTTTAAATGTTACATATATATATAAAAATCTTTCTATGTAAAATGTCTCTCAGTTTTACCCACTTGTTGCCTCTGGCTCACTGAGTTTTCCACTGAAGTCCATAAAAATGTAGTATCCACCAGGGAAAAGCACTTGTGAACTCCTGGTCTTGTTCTTCTCTATAGGTTTGGATGTATGTAACTTCCCAGGGTCACACAATAAATAAAAGACTGTTAGCCCAGTGACAGAGTCTGTGTAGTCCTTTGTGTGTCTCCCATTGTTAGTGCATCCTGTGAGTCCGGCAATGAATCCTCATCTTGGCCACCGCATCAACTTTGGCAGGATCTCCCCTCAGCAAGGAGAGTCAATGTTCATGCGTTGTGTGAGTCTTCAGGGGTGTCCTCCTCTTTATCTGTGACAGAGTGTGTATGTGTTTTGCATTTGTGGTTGTATCCTCCCACATCCACGTCAGCTTGCCTTTGTGACCTCCTACAAGCTTCTGCATTTCTCTCTGGTTACTGCAACTTCATCCATTCCCGTGTTTGCCTCGGCTTGAGGCCTTGTGATATCCCCAGCACGTAAGCATGCAATATATGAGCATATGGGTTGTATGTCTGTGTACGTCTGAGCATCAGAGTGAGAGTGTCCCCAGTTATATTTGTAAAGAGCACCTTATGAACCAGCTATACTGCCTCAGGGTAACCCTATCTGCAGGATCATTCCTGTATGAATAATGCAGGCTGACTGAGCTGTTGCTAAACTGTGTCTGAGAGGCGAAGCCACACAGAGCCAATGCACACATGCACGCGCGCGCACACGCATGCCAGTAGCAGCAACAATGACAATGCAGAGAGTGATGCATGCTCTCACACAAGCATTCAGAGGTATTCAGTACAGCTGATGCAAAAAGATGCAGTTTAGGACGTCACGCATCAGTTATTCAAGTAAAGAAAAGATTTAAGATGAATAATTACTTGCTCTACCTGTTGAGTACCTGCTGCTCTAGTCACTGCTACACTCCAGCTAACTGAAGTCATTCCCTTACAGCAGCTTTCCACTTAAGTGACCACCTAAATCAGAAACCACCCCCCAAAATTTATGCATTAGACCCTGATTTAAAGTTTTTTTTTTTATGTCATTTTCTTCACCTTGAAACTGCTTAGCCTGTTTCTTGGTCCCATAGTGGCCATGGGCATCTTTCATCCTCTAAATGGTTCTCATGTAAAAACTACAAAATCCATTGGAATGAATTAATATAAACGTATTAGTCTCCTCATTATTGCAGGTCATTGCCATAATTCTCTCACTAATAAGGCACACACACATTTTTACAACAGTAGTAGTAGTCATTACATAAATGACTGATGTGAAGTCAGTGAGGATGGCCTAATGTTAACTCACTGAAGATGGTTTGATTTGATTTGATTTGATTTGATTTATTTATTCTTTCAAGCATGTAAAATAGTTGATATGACAACACACATAATTTTACACATAATCCAATATCAATTTGCTTATACCTAGTACATGCTTGAATGGAGTAGGAAGAAGTCAGACTTATCCAGTCCTACCCCATGACATCATCTTACATCATTGGTTTGCAAGTAGTATCTCTACATAAATAATTCTCTTCTACACCACACAAGTAATATACTAAAGAATTATTACAAAGTGTTAACATTC